AAAGAAAGAAAGAAAGAAAGAAAGAAAGAAAGAAAGAAAGAAAGAAACTGCCCTGACCATATGGGTCTTTGTGGAAGCCAATGGGACATTTTCTTAATTAATGGTTGATGTGGGACAGCCCAGCCCCATTGTAGTTATAGCATTTGGGCTTCTAGCACCTGCACTGGTGGTCCTAGATGCTGTAAGAAAGCAAGCTGAGAATCCACAAGAGCAAGCCAGTAACCTGTTTTTCTCCATGGCCTCTGCTTCAGCTCCCTTTCCAGGTTCCCGCCCTAACTTCTGTGTGTGATGCTCTTTGCTCCTCAAGTCACTTTTGGTCATGGAGTTCATCACAGCAATAGAAACCCATATTAAAATATATACCAACTGAAGTTGGGCATGGTGGTGCAAGCCTTTAATCCCAGCACTTGGTAGGCAGAGGCAGGCAATCTCTGAGTTCAAGGCCAGTCTGGTCTACATAGTGAATTCTAGGACAGCTAGGGCTACACAGAGAAACCCTGTCTCAAAAAGAACCCAAAATAATATATGTTGGAGAATAACTTTGTGTTATCTAACCCAAGTTATTATATAATTTGTATCTAATATAACAAAATTCTATGTTAATTACATATATCATTTATGTAATTATATATTTTATCTATAATATAAATAATCATATGTTTTTAACTAACTGGAGACCTAGCTTGGCATAGTGGGCTTTCCTCTTATGAACAAGGATTTAGGTTCAAAGCCTAGCATCGCCACCAAAAAAAAAAAAAAAAAAAGGAAGAACAGGGGACCTAAAGTAAACTATGTAAGTAACAATGTAGAGAGAGCATATACACATGGCTGTTGAGACAGGGGTCTCACTACATGCCCCAGCCTGCACTTGACTCTATCGTCTGGTCTCAGCTTCTAAGGGCTAGAATCAGTTTTGTGCAACCACACCTAAATTGCGTGTTTATGTATATATTACATGTGCATATGCATGCAGCACGTGATTATGCATGCATTTACATATCTCTTCTAAGATTTTGCTAAAGGTTAATTGCTTTTCCTCAAGATATATGTCATGAAGCTGAACAAAATGGAACTGTTACCATTTCAAGCTGATGTAGAAATTGGTCAGATTATTGAGGTCCCCATTGCAATGTATCATGTCAATACAGAAACCAAAGAGACCATCGCATTCACCGACTGCTCTCACCTACCCCTGGATCTCAACTCGGATAAGCAAGGAGTCTTCACTCTTTATAAAGAAGGCAAGGCTAAGATCTTTCTACTTTTCTCCTTCATCCTTGAATTAAGGGACCAATCACCTCTGTAGGTTAATTTATACAATTCCTTCCCTTCCTCTCTCTCTTTTTCTCTTTAACACACACAAACACACACACACGCATGTGCGCACACAAACACACACACACATTCATGACCCTGCTATGTGGCCTACGCTGACCTTGAATTAATAACCTTCTTGTCTAAGCCTCCTGAGTACTGGCATGAAAGAGGTGTGCTTCTCTGTAACACCTGTACCCTACACCTTCTCTGTAACACCTGTACCCTACACCTTCTCTGTAACACCTGTACCCTACACCTTCTCTGTAACACCTGTACCCTACACCTTCTCTGTAACACCTGTACCCTACACCTTCTCTGTAACACCTGTACCCTACACCTTCTCTGTAACACCTGTACCCTACACCTTCTCTGTAACACCTGTACCCTACACCTTCTCTGTAACACCTGTACCCTACACCTTCTCTGTAACACCTGTACCCTACACCTTCTCTGTAACACCTGTACCCTACACCTTCTCTGTAACACCTGTACCCTACACCTTCTCTGTAACACCTGTACCCTACACCTTCTCTGTAACACCTGTACCCTACACCTTCTCTGTAACACCTGTACCCTACACCTTCTCTGTAACACCTGTACCCTACACCTTCTCTGTAACACCTGTACCCTACACCTTCTCTGTAACACCTGTACCCTACACCTTCTCTGTAACACCTGTACCCTACACCTTCTCTGTAACACCTGTACCCTACACCTTCTCTGTAACACCTGTACCCTACACCTTCTCTGTAACACCTGTACCCTACACCTTCTCTGTAACACCTGTACCCTACACCTTCTCTGTAACACCTGTACCCTACACCTTCTCTGTAACACCTGTACCCTACACCTTCTCTGTAACACCTGTACCCTACACCTTCTCTGTAACACCTGTACCCTACACCTTCTCTGTAACACCTGTACCCTACACCTTCTCTGTAACACCTGTACCCTACACCTTCTCTGTAACACCTGTACCCTACACCTTCTCTGTAACACCTGTACCCTACACCTTCTCTGTAACACCTGTACCCTACACCTTCTCTGTAACACCTGTACCCTACACCTTCTCTGTAACACCTGTACCCTACACCTTCTCTGTAACACCTGTACCCTACACCTTCTCTGTAACACCTGTACCCTACACCTTCTCTGTAACACCTGTACCCTACACCTTCTCTGTAACACCTGTACCCTACACCTTCTCTGTAACACCTGTACCCTACACCTTCTCTGTAACACCTGTACCCTACACCTTCTCTGTAACACCTGTACCCTACACCTTCTCTGTAACACCTGTACCCTACACCTTCTCTGTAACACCTGTACCCTACACCTTCTCTGTAACACCTGTACCCTACACCTTCTCTGTAACACCTGTACCCTACACCTTCTCTGTAACACCTGTACCCTACACCTTCTCTGTAACACCTGTACCCTACACCTTCTCTGTAACACCTGTACCCTACACCTTCTCTGTAACACCTGTACCCTACACCTTCTCTGTAACACCTGTACCCTACACCTTCTCTGTAACACCTGTACCCTACACCTTCTCTGTAACACCTGTACCCTACACCTTCTCTGTAACACCTGTACCCTACACCTTCTCTGTAACACCTGTACCCTACACCTTCTCTGTAACACCTGTACCCTACACCTTCTCTGTAACACCTGTACCCTACACCTTCTCTGTAACACCTGTACCCTACACCTTCTCTGTAACACCTGTACCCTACACCTTCTCTGTAACACCTGTACCCTAGACCTTCTCTGTAACACCTGTACCCTACACCTTCTCTGTAACACCTGTACCCTACACCTTCTCTGTAACACCTGTACCCTACACCTTCTCTGTAACACCTGTACCCTACACCTTCTCTGTAACACCTGTACCCTACACCTTCTCTGTAACACCTGTACCCTACACCTTCTCTGTAACACCTGTACCCTACACCTTCTCTGTAACACCTGTACCCTACACCTTCTCTGTAACACCTGTACCCTACACCTTCTCTGTAACACCTGTACCCTACACCTTCTCTGTAACACCTGTACCCTACACCTTCTCTGTAACACCTGTACCCTACACCTTCTCTGTAACCCCTGTACCCTACACCTTCTCTGTAACACCTGTACCCTACACCTTCTCTGTAACACCTGTACCCTGCACCTTCTCTGTAACACCTGTACCCTACACCTTCTCTGTAACACCTGTACCCTACACCTTCTCTGTAACCCCTGTACCCTACACCTTCTCTGTAACACCTGTACCCTGCACCTTCTCTGTAACCCCTGTACCCTGCACCTTCTCTGTAACACCTGTACCCTGCACCTTCTCTGTAACCCCTGTACCCTGCACCTTCTCTGTAACACCTCTACCCTGTGCCTTATTTATTGGCTTTGCTGGTAATTGAACTCAGGGCCTTGTATAGGATGCTGAGCAGTCTGGTCTGGGCTACAGTAGGAAGGTACACATCAACTCAATAGAAGCATTGGGCCCTCGTGGGCACATGAAGGCATTATGTTTGTTTTGTTTGAGGCAGGAGTTGCTCTGCGCAGCTTGGGAGAATACTCTGCCTGAGCCAAGTACTAAGATGACGGGCACATGCCACCATACCCAGAGAAGGTTATGATTTTAAGATTTTTGGGGGGGGATGGGGGAATTTGGAGAGATGGCTCAGCTGTTAAGAGCACTGGCTGCTCTTTCAGAGGTCCTGAGTTCAATTCCCAGCAACCACATGGTGGCTCACAATCGTCTATGATGAAATCTGATGCCCTCTTCTGGTGTGCTGAAGATCCATGTAATTAATAAAGTACATAAATAAATAGATAAGAAGGGTTTTTGAGACAGGGTCTCACTATATAGCTTTCGACTGGCCTGGAACTCACTATGTAGACCAGGCTGGCCTTGAACTTCTGAAGTGATGAGACTAAAGGTGTCGTCATGCTCAGGCAAATCTTTTCAGTATTTTCTCAGGTGTGTGTGTCAGCATGGACATGCGTACTTGAGAGCTGGTCCTACAGAGGCCAGCACTGTTGGATCCTCCGGACCTGTAGATCAGAGTGGTAGTAAGTGGACATGTGGGTGCTGGGAACTGAAGAACAGTCAGTACTCTTAGTCTGACTGAGACATTTGTCCAGCCCTAGGTTATACTTCTAATGGGTTAAAATTATTCTCTTTCTATAGCCTAATTTCTTAAAAAAAAAAAAACCAGCTACTTATTACTCTGAGTTATGGTAAGCTTTGGGGTGGGTATCTGTTTGTTGTTGGGACAGGGTTTCCTGTAGCCCAGGCTTGCCTTAAAGTTGCTTTGTAGCTGAGGCTGGCTTTGAACTCTGGATTCTTCTGGAGCCACCATGTCTGTTTGAAACCATGTCTTTTGATTGAAAGGTATTAAAAGCCCTGGACCGGAGCACTGTTCTAGTGTGCACATAGCAGCCATGTCTCCAGGCCACACTGTGGTGACAGTCAGCGTGACTGGGCATGAAGAGCAGGTTGGGAGCAGCGCCACATTTGCCGCGTATGAGCCTCTAAAGGTGAGCTGTCCGTCGCTAGGCCTGGTAAACCCTGACTGCTCGCCATCCGTTCTCTCCACGAAGGCTCAGCGGTCAGGATCTGTGGCCTTTTTACTGTTATCGGACCTCTGTGGCGTGGAAGTTTATCCCCCAAGCTTCCTGAATGAACTCATTCAGGCGCAGCTTTTCTTTTCTTTCTTTTTGTTTGTTTTTAGACAGAGAGTCTCATGGAGCCCAGGCTGAACTTCAATTGGACATGTATCCAGGATGATCTTGACTTCTGCTCCTCCTGTTTCTACAGCACAAGTGTGGGGTTACAACAGTGTTCAGTCACTCTCAGTTCATGCCCTGCGGGTTGGAACTCAGGCCTCATGCACACTAGGCAAGCTTCCAACCAACCAACGAATAAGCAAATAATCCCGCCCCCAACTGAACCACATCCCCACCTGTCAGTAGAAATAATATAATAATGTTGAAATAAGAGCGGCGGCGGGGCTGCGTCCCCAACACCCCGGCCGCTTGGCTAGCTTATGCCCGAAATAACAACACACAAATTGTATTCATTTAAAGAACTGCTTGGCCCATGAACTCTAGCCCTTACAGGCCAATTCTCGCACCTGGACTAGCCCATTTCTAATGGTGTGTGTAAGCACCCTAAGGTGCGCTTACCGGGAAGATTCTAGCCTAAGTCCATCGTGGGTTGCAGCTGCCTGGGAGAGCTGAGCATGGCGTCTCTGCTCCAGCAGAGCTGTCGGGTCTCTCCCGAAGCAGAGCAGAGTCTGACCTCACTTCCTCTTCCGCCCAGAATTCTATTCTGTTTACTCCTCCCATCTATGTTCCAGCCATGAGGCCAAGCAGCTGGTTTATTATAACTTAACCAATGAAATCAACAGATTGATATATGACACTCCCACATCACTTCCCCTTTTTCTGTTTAAACAAAAAAAAGAAGGCTTTAACTTAACATAGCAAAATTACATATAACAAAACAGTTATCAAGTAAAAATTACAATAATCTATATCATAACTAAGAAAAACTATAACTATAGCTAACTATTCTTAACTCCATCAAACAGTCCAGAAAGATACAATATTACCTAA